ACTGCTGTTGGAGTGAATAAGATAGCTGGCAATGGGCCTTCTCAAGGGGAGGTGTTTACATTTTGACTGGGATCTGAAGATTTAAAAAATCAAGACTGTGTTCCCCAGGCAAAAGAGAGGTGGTCCTCTGATTTGTTCCCTGGGAATTCCCTGTCAGATCTCAGACAAAATTTGATGAAACTTTGCAAGGTGGGTGACATGAGACATCAATTGAGCTGTCTCTTAATTAAGAAGGAGGTCATTAGTAAGAAATAGTCTGCCATATAGAGTCTCAAAGGGAGTCAGACACTGCTTCTTAAGGGTATTTATAAGTCTGAAGAGTACAATGGGCAGAAATTTTGTTCATGGGGACTGGGTTTCCTGAATGAGTTTGGTCAGCTGTCTCTTGAAGGGCTCACTGACCTTTTCTACCTTACCAGAGGACTGTGACCACCAAGCACAGTGGAAATGATAGTCTATCCCCAAGGCTCATGAGAGACCCTGGGTCACTTCAACTTTTGACCATGATCAATCTGGAGACTTTTAGGGAGGCCAAATTGGGGAATGATTTCAGTTATTAGAATTCTAATTATATCTCTAGCCTTTTCAGCTTTGCAAGGAAGGCTTCTATCTGTCATCCTGTAAGTGTGTCTACTAACACTAGCAAAAATTTTGAATTAGGCCTTCCTGGCATATGAGTGAAGTCCAACTGCCAGTCCTCACTAAGATAAGTCCCTTGCCTCTGTGTCCCCAAAGCCTAGAGGCACCTGTTATTGGGATTTGTTCTCTGGCACATTTCACATCCTTGCATGACCTGCTGAACCGTGTCTTTGAGCCCTATTCCCTTGAACATTTTCCTTGTTAAGATTAGGGTATTTTCAAATCCTAGATGGTAGTCAATGAAGTGATTTTAAAACCTTCCACTGAGGGGCTCTAGGAAGTCATAGACTACCTTGGGGGAGATTTACCATCTTCTATGATCCATGTGGTCACCTTGGATTGAGGCCTGTTGGGCTTCCTCCAGCTGGTAATGGGGCCTCCCCAGGAGAATCAGGGTTCCTCATATAGAAGAGGACTGGCCAAGAATTCCCTCATGGTTGACTTTTTTGCAGCCTTATCAGTGGCTTGGTTTTTCCTGGCTATAGTATCATCTCCCTTTTGATGGCCAGGGCAAGGAATCACTGACATTTTTTTGGGCAGTAAAACAGGAAAAGCAAGAATCTCCTGTGAATACTTAACAGGGAACCCTGCAGTGGTTAGTGCTTTCCATTCCCTCCAAATAGCTGCATGGGACATATTGGGAGTCAGTATAGTTATTGGGCTTTTTAAAATAAAATTTTTATTAGGATATATTCATTATACAGGGGTGAATTCATAGTGACAATTCTGGTTAGACTTAAATTGTACATTAGTTACATTGCCCCCATTTTCTCTCCCCCCCCATCCCTCCCCAGGCCACTTAAAGCAATTGCAACAGGCCTCTTAGTTCTGTTTCATAGAGGTTTATGATGTCCATCAACCATATACCATGACCCTTTTCCCTTTTGATAATTCCAAGGACTTTGTAAGAGCTACCAGTTCAGCACTAGTGTTTGGGGGTAGGGGACCTGACTGAATCATGCCCAAATCTGATACCATCACAAATTCTGTATGTCTGATCCCATCTCTGACAAATGAACTCCCATCTGTATATAGTACCAGTCAAGATTGTCCAGGGGGTGGTCAGTTAGATCAGATCTAGCAGCATGACTTTCCTCTCATGAGTGTTCAGGTTTCCCTTCACCATCAGGCAGAAAGGAAACAGTGTTGAGGTTTTGGTAGACTTTTAAGGTGATCTCAGATCCCTCCAGTAGAAGAACTTTGTATTTAAGAGGCAGCTGACAGATAGCCGTAAGCCTCCCTTGGAGTTTAAAATCCCCCTACATCATGTGGACTGTAAACTGTCAGCGGACTGCCCAAGATCATCTTCAGGGCCTCCAGGATCAAAAGGCTCACAGTGGCCACCACCCTCAAGCATTCTGGTCATTCCTTAGCTACTTGATTTAATTCTTTACTTAGATATCCTATTGGCTGGGGGGGCTTAATCTCAGGCCAGTCCTTTCTCCTAGAGGACATATAGTTGGAATATGTCCTGTGTGGGGAGGCTCAGGGCAGAAGCCCTCATAAGAGCCTTCTTCAATTGATGGAAAGCATTAGTGGCAGTGCAATCCCATTCAATGAATGACTGGGAGTATTTCTGAGCCTCCTGGAGGACCTGGTATAGGAGCTGGGCCAGGTCTGCATACCCAGAATACAAATCCTGCAATAACCTGTTACCTCAAAAAGGATCTCAACTGTTTTAGGGTTGTACGAAGAGAGAAGGCTAAAATTGGCTGTATCCTATCGTTCCCCAAGGCCCTTATCCCTTCTGTTAAAACTAGTCCCAAGTAAGTAACTTAGATCTGGCAGAATTGAACCTTTGTATCCTCGATCTGCCAGGAAGTTCAGAAGGGACTCAGTGGCCTGAAAGGTGGTGTCCTCCAAAGGTCCACAAAGAAGGAGGTCACCTACATATTGAAGCAGAACTGTTTATGGGTAGGCTCATTCCACTAGGTCCTGAGATAGAGCCAATCCGAACAGGTGGGGATATCTCTAAACCCCTTTCCAAGGAGAACATCTTCCCTTTCAACTATCACTTCTGCCTTTGTGACCAAAGGCAGGGTTCCTCTGGGATCTATGCAGATTTGGATTGCTGTTACCAGTGTGGTCCCACCTGGATTTTGTCCCTTTCTGTTTCTTATATCCCCCAATATCTCTGTTTTCTCCAATTGCCAAAGGCCATGATTTCAAATAGGGCTTTAGAAGTGAAAGGACCTAAAGTTGTTAACAGGGCTAGGAGACCTAGAGGAGGTGGCGAAGTCAGACTCTTAACAAGCTTCATAGTCCCACCAATCAGATGGCTATGCACTGTGGCAAGGGTAGGTTTAGGGCCCAGCACTGGGGACTGTCCTGTTCTTCCCTCTATCTCTTGGAGGACTGCTTCCTTTCCCATGGTTATCAAGTCCTGTATGCATTTTGCAGCCATGCACGTTACAATTGGGGTATGATGGGCCGAGTGTCTAATGAAAGAAAAGAGGGACATGTCTGAACATCCTGGGGGTGAAAGCCAATTGAAAAGTGGGGAACAGAATGGTCAGGGAACTTGAGGAGGGCACAAACAGCCTATCAATTGGTGCACTGTGGGAAGCAGACTCCTCCCCTAAATGTCTGAAAGGAAGGAGCCCCACTTCTGCCTAGGACAGTGAGCCCTACCACTCACTTCTGGGAGAGAATGGGAGAAAGTTTCACCTGCCAAAAGGCTCAGCCATGCTAGTTGTGGCTGGGCACGCTCCCTGAGTTGGTGAATATAGGGAGTACTGGACGATTGACGGCCACTATCCTATATGCTTCCTCAGTTCGGCCTGGTGTATTCTGACCTTGAGTCAGTGTCCTGGGGGCGGGGGGGTGGCTCTCAATATCTTGAACAAAGCCCCCAAAGATACTACCATCTAGGGGTATGGGTTCCTTTTCTCTGCCAGATAAAGAATTAAAGAGGTGGGAAATTTTTGAGAGTTTAGCAAAGATTTGTTGTGGAAATAGCAAGTGAAAAAAAAGCAGCAAATTCTCCAAGGAGAAGGGAACCCAGAAAGCAGACCACTGATGTCCTCCGGGATTTGCCCTTTTAAGGTCTTCCCTTTCCTTTCCCCTAGGTGGCATGGGATATACTCTCCATTTCAATTTTCCCAGGCTTCCATCACCCTCTGTCCATGTGATCTTTCCCTGTCCCTGATGGATCCCCTGCCTGTATGCACAAGGGGGAAAGTATCATTTTGATTGGTTCCCTCATCAGTGTGCACAGCACAGCATGAATACAGAAGTGCAGGGGTCCTCCCAGTCCCAGGGCATGGAGGGGATGAAGAAGCCCCTGTACTACACACCACGTGGAATCCACCAGCCTCATGGAATCCACCATCTTTTCCTGACTGCCTATATCCTACCCTCTGTCCCTCATTTCCTTCTGCTTCTTTACCTTCAATTTTGCACCAATGTAGAGGATGTCCTCTGGGTCATTTTTCATTCTTTGTGGACCAATCAGAAGCTGAATGAAAAATTCCTGCACAAATGTAACTGGGAGGCAGTGGTCCCCCTGCTGAGTCTCCCTGCCCTTTCATTTCATTTCACCTGATCCACCTCCTCCAATGAGAAGCCAATTACTTCTCTGATGCTCAGCCATCACCCTGCATGTTGTAAAGCAGTAGTCAAGGCCCCACACAGAAAACTCTTGACTCTAAAACATTAGGGGCAGCTCAACCTCTCTCTTCAAGGGCTTGGAGAGCTCTCTCTTACCTCTGTCTTGTTTATAATGCTTTGTTCTTCTGTTCTTTCCACCTCTGGGTGGAGTCCATTGGACATTAAATCGAGGACTTAATTCTGTTTAGTGCAGGCCCATCCACTGAATTGAGAGATGGGTAGTGTCTGGCTTTCCCTCCAACTCCCCATCCTCACCTGTCAAGAGAAGGCAGCTCATCCCTACTCCATGCAAACTCTGAAGCCCTCTTAGAAGCGGAAGCCACTGAGAATAGTTTTGGTTTGAATGGGTTCTTTTTTTTTTTTTCCCTGTCTTTATACAAGCCAGAGCTCTGCCTGTCCCAGGTGTTCTACCTGCCTAGGCCTCTTTATCCCTACGGCCACATGTCAGGAATGCTGAAAGTCCCCTGGAGCTGAAGTAGGGGAGGGACAATATCTTTGTGGCAGCACATTAGAGAGATTAAATAAATACTTTCACTTCTGTTTTCCCCGTTGGGGTGGAGCCTTCTCCAGTGAGAGTCCACAGCAGGCCAGCTTCCTGCTTTGGCCCCAGCAGCCACTTTGGACACAGGCGGGGAGACTGAGGGATCAGAAGCCACCCTCCCATTCCCGGGCAGGGCCAGGGGCTGGAAGATGTCAGGTGAGGGCAGCGATCTTGGCTCCAGGTAGGTCTTTCTCTCCTTTCTTAATTTTAGCTCTGACAATATTGCTGTTTGGGTTTAGCTGGTGTTTAAAGCCTTACCCAAGTTAGTCTGGCTTCCTGAGAACAAGCTCAGCTCTCTGATAAACAAGAGAAGGCAGAGAGGACATAGGGTTTTAAACTTGAGCAGGACAGTTGTTGGTGTGAGTCCAACTTGTCATGGAGCACATGACTTTCTTGTTTTGCAACTACTCCTCAGTTGTTCGGGACTCTGGACACAGCAGTTTGTGGACTCTGGACATAACGGACTTTGTGTTGTGGGTTTGTTACTTCCTCGTGACCTCTGAATGGTCCGTCTGCCTCTCTCCACCTCCCATAGGTTGGGTCAAAGAAAGGAATTTAGTAATAGAAGCTTCAGGGAAGCATCTGGATTCTTTCCAACCATGGGGTACTATGGCTGCCTGCCTGTCCAGGATAGCCTCAGTGGGCTCTGGGCTGTCCCCACAGTTAGCCTGGGGTCTCAACTTGTTCTCCATGGATCCTGATCAAAGAAAGAGAAAGGAAAGAGAAGCCCTGGACTGCAAAAGGCTAGTGCAGGCTAAGTGACTTTATTTTCCTTTTAGTTTTCTGTGCTGGGGTGAATGATGACTCTGAAAAATGACAGAAATTCTATCTTTTCTCCAATACTGGGAATTCAGAGATGTTATTCAGAAAAATGTGCTATTTTTATTTTTTAATAAAAAAGAAAATATATTATGCAATCTTGTTCATAAAATTTCAAACACTATAGAAGTATATAAAGGAAAAAACTCCCCTTCACCACTCACCTGCCCCTTGCACTTTCTAATCCTGTTTTGGGAAGAGTCTTGGGCTCACTTGTCCCTTCTTTTTCTATGCATTTATATATACATATATAACTTGTTTTCATAAATTCACAATCTGTGTGCTCATTGTGTAATAAGTGGGATATTGCTGTTTTGCATTGTTACTTATTTTAAAAGTAGCAACCTTAGAGAGCTTTTCATGCTAATACATGTACATTGACTTTGTTCTTTTTTAACCGCTGCATGCTGTTCCACAGGATTGATAAATTAACCGTAATTTTTTAATCAGTCTCCCTTTCCATGAGCATTTAGGTTATTTCAATTGTTTACTTTTACCAGCAATCTGTCATAACAATGATTACATACTTCCTTTTAGTATTTTGCATGTGTGCAAGTATTTGTCTTATGTCAAAACCCAAAAAGTAGAATTACCAAGGCAAAGGGTATTAGTAAATACTTGTTGATAGACTTTGCCAAATTGCTTCTATAAAAGGCTGAATCAATGTATTCTCCTACCAGATCAAATGAGACGAGCCATCTCCCCACATTCGGCCAAATTTTGCAAAGGTATAAAAAGGGGTGCGCCTTGTTTTAATTTGCATTTTCCTGATTAAGTAGGAAGTTGATCATTTTTTCTCTCTTGCTAGCTGTTAAATTCTTTTCTCCTATTGCTGGTTTATTTTTTGCCAATGTTATCCACATGTTTGTTGTTTCTTTCATGACATGGGAGACTTTGCTAACTATCCTGGAAAAGCATAACTTGAACTTGGTGTATGGTGGCTTTTGTCTTGTTAAAACTTAAATGTTAAAGTAGAGACCTATTATGGTATTGATCTTATAAGACACATGTGATGGACCCCATGAGCACTGCTTGCTTTCTTCTGTGGGGCTGGAGATTGAACCCAGGGCCTTGTGAATCCTAGGCAAGCACACCACCACTGAGCCAAATCCCCAGTTCGTAGCTGTCAGTTTGTAACCACACTTCTTGTGTTCTGCGAAGCTGCAGTTTCTTGTCGAATATCTATGAAAACATTTCCTTTTTAAGTTTTTAGGCAAAACTACTCTTCCACTGGAGCCACTTTCACCTCCCCAGCTTTCTCCCCCCCCAACACCCTGATGCTTTTCTCTTTCTGATTTTTTTCTTCATGTCCATCATGGTGGCCTCCAACTTTTCCTCCATGACAATTATTTAAATTTTAGCAAATTTGTTTCTTGTAATTTCTAATTTTTTTTTTTTAAAACGATGGTGTTCAACTTTTGAGAGAGGATCTTACTTTATTCTCACAGCCCTGCAAGCTCCACCCTAGGCTGCGTCTTATCCTTCTTCAGGATCCCATGCAGTTTAGGTTTTGGAGTAGTGCTAAGTGCTGGGGATATTCTCCTCATTTTTCTTGAGTCACCCTTCCAGATCTGCATGAAGGGCCTGCAGCAGTTCATCACCCGTGTCACTTACACCTGAGCCACTGCAGTTCACCCCAGACTTGCCACTGCCTGGAAGTAATCTGGGTGACGTTTGTTTTTTTCACATTTCCTGTCTTATCAGAGACTACAGCTTGGAGGTTCTCTTTCCATTCTTGTTAATCTTTCTGCAGCCCTGTTGATGGATCACCAAGTGGCCTGACAGACATGGTGGGTTTCTGTGTTTTCTGTTATTTGTCATTGGCTCAAAATGGCCTCTCCGATGCCAGTACCACAGTCATACTATATGAAGTGCTGTCACGATGTGTCACAAAGTGAAGGTAGCGTTTTTGGAAAGGATTTGTGTTGGTTATTTCCAGGGGCCTTGGCACACCAGTTCAGAATGCTTGAAAACAAATTCATGGCTGAGATAAACTGGAGGAACCCACGTGATTCCCAGGCAAGGCCTATCCCTTTCTCTTTTCTCATTGTGAAGATGGATTGTGTGATCACTCTGAGGAGGTGGGGTTGGACACCCATGGACCCTCTGCCTTGTGTGGCCTCTGGATTTTATTTCTGCCCTTCTCACCCTCAAGATTGTCAAACTTGAGATTCTGGCTCTGATATCAGCAAATGCCCTCAAGTCAAAAGCGGCTGCTGTGCTGTGTACATCTCGGGTTTTTCCCTTTGCTTTTACCTGGTAAATCCTTGTGTATTTTCATCTCTTCAAGGTTTAATGGCACTTATACAAGGCTTTTTCCAACTGTGTAAGTTATTTTCAACAATGAAGGGAGACTGAGGTTGCTTGAGCCCTGCCACACAACACAGTGTTATGGTCATGAGTAATTGATGGAGGTCATTTTTCAAAGTTTGTGGCTCAAAGATTTTTTTAGCAATTTATGAAATTTTTTTCTGACTGCATCTAAGATTTTTTTCTAACTTGTTTACTGCAATGCATCTAGATTCATGTTGTTTTATTTTTATTTATCACATTTGGAGTTTTCAGAGTTTCTTGAGTTTATGAAGTTATGTCACTTATCCATTTTGGAAAAGTCTCCATCATTATTTTTTCAAATATTCCTTCTTCCCTTCCTGCTATTTCCTCCCCTCTTCCTGGGACAGAAGGCATATTATCTTCATCCTTCAGACTGTGTCTCAAAGTCTTTTCTGGGTATTTTCTGTTTTAAATTTTCCATTTGGACATTTTTCTACTGATCTGTCTTCTAGTTTGCTGCTTCATTCATGTCTGAGTATGCTGTGTAAGGTCACAGAAAGGTGGCAGACAGGACCACTTCTGGGCATGCTCAGTTCAGTATTTTGAGTTTTAGCTGAAACCAAAGGAAAGAACAACTTTGAAGGTGTGCTGACAGCCTCTTAAAGGGGAAGCAGCCCCCACCCTCACTGCCTCCCCATAAGGACAGGAGTTTGGCTCCCAAAGGTGGCTGACGTACTTAGCAGCTAACTTTCTCATTCCATGCTTTATTTATTTTATTTCTTTATTTCACTTTCATACTTGAATGAGAATTTAGATGTGGCTAGAATTAAGGTTCAAAATGATTCCTCATTAAAAACCGGGATATTTTCTTCATTGTCTTTCTGTATTCAGTGTCCCCTGTGAAAATTCCACTTCAGTCAGGTTTCTTTCCTTTGCAGCAAAGTTGCTTTCACTTTCTGCAACCTTTATCGTTTGTTTTCAATGCTTGGTGTTCTATAACATAAGTAGGTGTGTGCTCTTGGCAGGCTTTTTTGTAACTCAGGTAGAACTGTGTTTATTTACTTTGGGGGTATGTAAGTTTTTCAGTTAAAATTATATCTAAAATTTAAGAACACATTTGTCATACAGAAACCATCTAAACATGTGAACCTCATAAAATACTTCAGGAGCAGAGGACATGGTGTAAATTGCTTGAATTTAAAAGCTACTGAAAGTTAAAATACCTAGTTGGGCTCACACTTTTCTTTTTTTCACCTTTATTGGGTTTGCAGTCACAATGTGGTGGTTTGATATGCACGTCTATTATGAAATGTTTGCAGAATCAAGTCAACATACCCATCAGCTTAGGTAGTTACCAGTTCAGCTGTGTGTTAAGAATAGTGATTTAACATTTTAGAAAATTTCAATTTTAGCTTTAACTGCAGTCTCTGTGCTTGCACACCCCCAGAGCTCACTCATGTTACACCTGAAACTGTGGAGCCTTTCACCAGCATTTCCCCATTTCCCACGCCCAACTCTTGGTAACCACCATTCTATTCTTTCCTTCTACGAATTTGATTTTTTTCAGATTCCACATATAAGTGACATTACACAGTATTTGTCTTTTTCTGTCTGACTTATTTCACTGAGTGTAATGCCCTCAGAGTTCATTCAGACTTTGCAAATGGAAGGGTTTTCTCTTTTTTCAAGGCTGAGTAATAGTCCATTGTGTAAGTGCATATATATATTATATATATCATATATGAATATACATTTCTTTATATACATACATATGTATGCATACATAGTGCACATATATACATCCATTTTCTTTTCTATTTTGGGGTACTGAGATTTTTAATTCAGGGCCTTGCACTTGTTAGGTGGGTGCTGTACCTCTTGAACCACACACCTAGCCCTTTTCTGCTTTTTTTGAGTTACTTTTCAGGTAGGGTGTGGTTTTTGCCTGACGCCAGACTGTGCCCCTCTTCCCTATGGCCTCTCATGTAGCTGAGATGACAGGTGTGCATCGCCCATTCAGTTTATTTGTTGGGATGAGGTCTCATTAACTTTTTCCCTAGACTGGCCTCAAACTGCACTCCTCCAAATCTCTACCTCCCGAGTCACTGGAATTACAGGTGTGCACCACCACACATGACCTATACAAGGTTGTTTCCTTTCTATGTTGTCACTACTGTGAATAAAGCTGCCATTAACATGTAGAGAGTGTAACTATCTCTTTGACATATAAATTTCATTTCTTTTGGATAAGTATATAGATATGGGAATGCTGGATCATATAGTAGTTTTATTTTTAATTTTTTGAAGAGCCTCCATGTTATTTCCCATAATGGCTGAACTAATTTACATCCCACTAGACGTGGACAAGGGTTCCCTCTTCTCCATGTTCTTGCTGACACTACTTTTCTTTTTTCACAATAGCCGTTCTAGCAGGTGTGAGCTGCTCTTTCCCTGCAGTTGTGATTTAATGACTGGTATTGGTGCCATTTTTCCTATAGGTATTGCCCATTTGTATGTCTACTTTGGAAAAATGTCTATTCAGCATTTTTTGTATTTTTAATGCAATTATTTGGGGCTTTGCCACTTGCGTTCTTATATATTTTGAATATTAGCACTTTATCATATATACATTTAGCAATAATTTCTCACA